AAAATAATAATAATAATAAAGGGAGAAATGTGGGATCCACATAAAAATCAAGTACAAAAAGCAAACGAATATTCATATTTGACCTGATTGTTTATAGGTCATAATGCGTGATCAAAATCGAAAGTTTCTGTCATGACTGCCCTTGTACTGTTCACCATGTAAGAACTTATTCACTATGTAAGAATTTGTACACCATGTAAGAACTTGTTCGTTATGCTTCAGAAGATTGGAGGCTGACGAGAATTAGGCTTGAGATGGATTAACGATTGTGCATTGAGCATTGACCCCCCTATACAGAATTTTATTGTTGTTAACAACCATTTGATTAATAAATATGAGAGATGCCCTCTCAAAAAATAATAATAATAATAATAATGTTTTCAAGGTATCACTGAGATTAGTATTTTAAAAATAAAACATATAAAGATAAATCTAACATAAAATAAAAGAACCTCTACTCAGAAAGTTGTTAAGAAATTATTTAGAGAAATTAAAGACTACCTAAATAAATGGAGAGGGATGCCAGGGTTACAGAGTCAAAGACTCACTACCAGAAGATTTTAATCCTCTCACAGCTGACCTACAAATTAAATGCCAATCCCACTGGGATTTGGGAGCTGGGGGAACAAGGTGCAAGGGCTTGTCCCCTCGATCAGGGCTCACCCACAAGCTGCAGTAATCACAACGGCATGCCGCTGACACACGGCGAGCAGAGGCCAACAGAGTGAGGCACAGACACAGTCTGCAGGTGTTGACCATGGTGGCCTCGCAGTCAGCGGGTGGGGACGCTTTAGTAATGGTACAGGGACAACTGCATGTCATTCAGGAGAAAGCATCACCAGACACAGAAACCAGTCCCAGTGGGTTGTCAACCCGAATGAAGAGAGAGAGACCCCAGAATAAAGGTAAGGCTTCATCCACAGAACACAAAACACATGACCACAAAGGACTGGCAGACCCAATGGCATGGGAACGTGGGGACACATAACTGACATGGCAGGTTACAGACAGCAAGGTTCTCAAACACAGCAGGTTGCACAGCTACCTGTTTTGAAGATCAGTAGTGGTTACATTTCGGCAGTTCTTTGGTTCAACCTGTACAACCAACAAAGTGCTGGCATCTGAAACACCCGAAGAACGTCTAGACAATGACAATAATGCCACAGGAAAATGCATAGAGACTTAAGAGGCACTTCCCAGAAGATGTTAAAAAAGACAATAAACATGCAAAATTGATCAACCTGATGATCAGGAAAATACAGATTTAAGTCACAGTGAGATGCGGCCACACCCCAGAAGTCAAAACCTGGAAGGGCAGATGCAGCCCCCCAGGAACTCACGTATGGGGGTGGGGGGGCCACTGCTCAGAGCCGCTCCCCAGGGCCCAGCAACACCACTCCCGGGTGACTAGCAGCAGCTGTGCGTGCTTGCCAGGGCCACCACACAAGGGGCTCAGAGTGCTAACCAGTTAAATGTCCAATGAGACGGGGACAAGGGTCAGGGGCAGGCTGGGCTATGTTCATACAAATCCTACACGGCACCACAAAGGAGTGAACAGCACACAGAACAAATCTGGTCACTCCACACTGTTTAGCAAAACTAGTCAAACACACGAAAGAATATATGCTGCTATGATTTCACAGGAAAATCACAGGACAGTCAAGATCAATGACACATTTTAGGCAGCATGCTCAGGGGAAAGGGAAGGAGGGGAGGAGGGGAGGCCACTGTGAGGACAAAGGCGCCAGCAGTGGGGAGGGGCCTAGGCCTCCCCAGCCTGCGCAGGGCTGGGCTGCGCTGCTGAGCTCCCAGCACCTTGCCATGTGGACATGGCAACTTTGGTCTCAACTGACGAAAAGGTTGAAAGGGAAGCCAATTGATTACTAACCAAGGTAATTTTCACTCTTGAATTTACAAACTAGGACAAATATCTTACATTTTGAAAAGAAAATAAACATATAAATTCAATAAAATAACTAAGACCAAACCCACCCTGAGTTCCATTCCCCATCAACAAACAGACTTACTCTGCTTAATCTGGAGACAGCCAGAGAGACGGAGGTTTTAAACTCTTCAGGATTCTTCTGGGCCAAGGTGGTGATAAGACTCGTGGCAGCAGTCACGACTCCCTGGAGACACATACAACACACTCGTCCACAGCAGCCAGTATGCCGGAGGCTGACCTCTCATTTCAAACTCATTTTCCAAATAAAACTTTAAATTCAGAGCAATAAACTGGCAGCCCGTAGGCCACAGCCAGGCCTGCTACGACTAGCCCAGTGTTTTTAAAAACTGAGATAGCACAAAGTTTGTTTTCTTTTTCCAACTTCTCTTTAAAAAAATGAATTCCAGCAGTGCTTTAGCCCAGATCCCTGCCATGGTAAGGGCCAGCAGATGGCCCAGGTCTCTACCAGTCAATTGCCTCTCTCGAGGTCCAGTCACCTGTCTGGTCCTGTGGTCAGCTGAGCTCGCTGGCCCTGATTAAACCATTCTGTGTGGACTAGAGAGAGACAAATGATTTTTAGACACATCTGAATCTTTACCACCCAAAAGTGAGGCTGTGGAGAACAGTAACTAAAAGCCCATCATTCCCTTTTTAAAGAACAGCAACTAAAAAGCCCGTCATCTCCTTTTTGAAAAGTGGCCCAGTAACTCACATCTCTTGGAGGAAGACTAGTTAGGTAAACAAGATTTCTAGCAAATATAAAGAGGGGAAGACACACGAATGGTGCTTATTGGCAGTGAAGATGTGAACAAAGTCAGCTCAGGAAGCATGCATGGTCATGACTCAGCCCATCTTGCCCCTGCAACCCTGCTCCTGAGTGGGTGGGAGAAGGGCACAGTCCCTGCAGCAGTGAAGGAGACAGGAGGGCAAAGCCCGGCACCACAGCTCCCTCCCCAGAGACTGCCACTGCCCTGTTCCCCCATCTCTAATGAAAATATCAAAGTACATTAAAGCAACAGGCCTCAATGGCCTTTGTCATTTCTCAGTGGGCAAAAAAGTGCCCAGACATTTCCCATGCCACAGAGAGCTTTAAAAGACTCCATGTTTGTAATGGTCAAACTACACCAGGGCGGTGGCTCCATACTCACCAGCCTACCAGAGGGTCCAACACTCACAGCCCTCCCCATCTGCCCCCTGCTTTCCGAGGGCACCCGGGGAGGGCTGGAACAACTAACTCTTCCCGGGGGTTCCTGACCTTGAGGCCAAAGAAAGCGAGGTCACAGGCCTCCGTTAGCAGCAAGGCCAGGAGTGTGTGACAGGGAAGCCAGGGCCACGGAGGACAGCAACCAGAAAAACAGAGAGCACATGGGGAGCACAGAGGTGAAGGAAGGGCTGGGCAGTGGGCCTGCCCCTCCCATGGTCTGGCTGTGATGCCCTCTATCTTCTCCTCTCCCAGCAGAGATCCTGCCACCTACGACTGAGAATGTGCCAAGTAGTGCACCCAGCGAAGCAGTCAGGGCCAAAGGTTGCCCTTTCAGTGGATCTGGGAGGCAGTCGGGCTTTTTCCAGTTTGGTACATCAAAACACAAGAGAAAACCAAACGGCTGGGGCCTCAACCATATAGCTGAGACAGGGTCCCACCACCCTGGGAAGTGCTCGGTGTGGGTGTCTTCCAGGCCTCAGGCCTCGGCATCTGTCAGCCACATGGCTGTGCAGAGCTTCCCTGACACCGAGCAATGATGTGTACCAGGATTCTAGGTACTTTAACAAAGGGCATCTGGAGAGAACACAGTGGAAGCCTGAAGCCCTGCACTCACTAGCGAGCTGCCTGTCAGCTGCCCCTCCCCTACCCCCACCTCCCAGTCACACACACCTGGGTCTGAGGCAGCAAAGCCCCAGCTCTGACCCTTCATCAGCCCCTGGGTCTAACCCAGATCTGTGTGAAGCCATTTCACCTGTCTGAGCCTCAGTTTGCTCATCTGCAAAACTGGAAAAAACCCCACACCTCCCAGGTCCACTGAAAGGGCAACCTCCGGCCCTGAGCCCAGCTGCAGAGGCAGAGTCGGACCTGAGCAGATGGGGGGTGGCCGCATGCAGGTCCAGCAGTTGCCGGCAGCACCCCACTCCTGTCCTGGTCTTGACATAACCACCAGTTCCCTCCCTGAATCAACATGTAATCATCATTTATTTTTATTTAATTTCTAAGATGGATTTCTCCTCTGGGAAAAAAGTGCACTAGCCAGCTAACATAAGCGTATCTACTCAGCAGGAAAATCTGTGTTCTGACTCTCATTTACTCAACACAGTCCAGGCGGAACATGACCACTCTGCCCAACATCTGGTCCTGGTCAGCCCTGCTTCTAGCCCCATCTAGCGTGCACACGACCTGTGACTCACGTCTAACCATAGCCACCAATGGCTCTGCATCCCTAGACCTTGCCAAAGACACAGGCAGGACAAAAGACTGCACCCCAGAGCGCCAGTGAGAACCACAGGCCACCCACATCGCAGCCCTGAACGAGGCACAGGCAGGCAGGCCACGTGGGGATGTTTCCAGAAAACACCAATCTCTGTCTTGTTCGTGTGTGCGGCCCTGGCGTGCAGGGAGCTCCTTGCTCGACTGCGGGCACTCGCAGGTCCTGGGACTGGGCAGCGTGAGCCTCCCCAGCACCGTGAGAAATCACCAGCACTGCTATAACAGCAGCCACTCTGAGAAAGGCTGCTTGGCAGGCGGGCAGGCGGGCCCTGGGCCAGAGGCGTTTACCAAGTGCTGGTCGTTGAGGAGATGCACCACTCGGGATGTCCAGTCACCCATGGGGACAAGGTCGGGAGATGCCCTGTACAAGCGCAGCAAACACAGGGCGGCGCTCTGCTTCACACTGTCCATGGTGTCTCTGAAAGACAAACACTGCTGGTGACTCAAGAGCACAGCCAGCATGCTGGGTACTACCCAGAGCCTCCCAGGGAACTCCCCGGGCAGCAGGGGACCGGGCCACTTCTACCTACCTCTCCATGGGATCAAGCTCACACCTGCCTCCTGAGAGGCAGTGTCTGGACAGTGACAGACAACCGTCTGTCCTAAACAGCCACCTCTATGTACTTCATGTCAAACCCCATCAATAGGAAAGAGTCTCGCTGGCAAAAGTCTCTCACCTCCAAAAGTATAACTCTATTTTTACCAAGCACTGAATACAACCAGCATTTGTGGCTATGCAAGCTGAAGAAAATCAACTAACCTTCCTCTTTAATGAATTAAATAAATTAGTGTTTGGGTTCTTTTTGGATTTCACCTGATAACACACCAACAGAAAAGTGCCCGAGGCCCTCACAGTGCCATGGAATTCCATGTCTACCTGGTGACCTCCTCCCCTGCCCAAAAAAATGCCCTGCTGGAGCCTGCCTCCAGCTCTGAGAGCCAGAGGCCACCTTGCCTCCCAAAGTACAGAGGGCTGCAGATGCCCAGAGGCAGGGCACTGGGCTCCGTCCTGGTTTTGGTGCTGGTGGAGTGCACAGAACACTCCCAGGACCGTGTACCCTGTGGCTCCCTAATCCCAGTTGACCTGCCAGGAAAGTAGTGGCCCGTCAAGGAAAACTCCAGTGGGTGCAGGCCAGAGGGGTGCTGGTCAGCAATCTTAAAGCACTGCTAGAACACGTGGGGGCTCCCCTCCAAGGGAGGGGAGGGTGCGCAGCTGGCTGCTTTTACCATTTATCTCCCCTTTGGCGCTTTTATTCCTAAAAATGAGGAACCCCTAAACTGCCCCCCACTCTATTCCAAAGAAAAATTACTTCCACAAAAAATTCTCTTTTGGATGCAAAGCCCCCTGAGGAGCAGGGGCAGACACCTGTCCCTCTCAGTGAGCCCACACCACCCTCACTAGGAGCAGCAGGACATCCAGGTCTCCCAGCAGAAATGCTCTGGCTTTAGGTGGCAAGTTTGTTTCTACGCCTGCAACCAAGTCCTGAGTGATACTCAAGAGCCCATCTGCCCATCGTCCCACCTGCTCATGGATGCCACTCTTGGCAAGAACATTTGGAGGAGGACAGGACTGCAGCTGACAACCCCCAGAATCTGGGGAGACCGCCCCTGCTCAGTTTCAGTTCTGCTGTGGGCTGAGGACCAGGGCCCAGGACCCACACAGCTTCTCATTCTCAGTGCCAACTGCATCCCGGCATGACAGATGCTCTATGATCCTCCTAGTACGCTGGTGCACCAGACTGAGTCACGACGCCCCTCCCACACCTGCCAGCCTCCAGCCCAAGCACATTCCTCTGAGTTGTTTATGAGCTGGGCTTCAAGAGCTGGAAATTCTTTTCAAGTAGGGCTCGAGGATGCCACACTACCAGAGCTTTCTGTGCAGGAGACCACCTGCCTGTGACCCTGATTCCCACAGGACAGTGCAGCTGGGCATGACAACTCCCGGTCCCTAACTGTGCATGCCCTCCATGTCCTACCCCAGAGCTCATTCCCCATCCCCCACTTCTAGGCTGTTCTTCGGCATCTCAATACACACCCTCTGGCCCTGGAGTCTGCGAAGCTGCCCATCCTTTATTTCTGGGAAATGTTCTTGAATTATCACCCGAATACTTCTCAGAGATTGCCTCTGTTTTACATTTCACTTATATAACAGATACTTATCAAGCACTTACTGTGAACCAGGCATTGTTCAAATGCTGGACAAAAAGCAACAGCAGACAAAAACATCAGCCCCCAAGGGACACGCCTTCTGAGGGCAGGCAGGCAGTACTGGCCAGTTAGGGCTGCATGTGGGCGAGGAGGTCTGGGCAGCGGCCAGTGCTGAGGGAAGGAGCGCAGGGGAGGGCCTTCCTGGACAAGGGCAGCCAGGCCCACTCAGCAAGTCACTCAGACCCCGGCAAGTCCTTCTGACGCAGAGGTCCAGCCCCAGGGCACCTGCGGACTTCGGAGCTGGCTGCCTTCTTGGCTCCCCACTTGCCTCCTCGGCTCCAGCATTCCCCCTTCTCACATGTCAGACGGCTGCCGCGCCACCTCTGGGCACTCACACTCCAGCAACCTTCCACTGGGTTGTGTGTGGTCTTTCCCAGCCTGGCTCCTCCATCTGCCCCTGGGGTGACACTCCTCTGACCCTCCTCCAGGGCCTGCACAACCACCCTACCTCCGCACTTCCTATTGCTCACAGTGCAGCCGGGGGTCTATCACCTGAGGCACAGCTGGCATTTGGGGTCAGACCCCTCTCTGGTGGGGCCTGTCCTGTGCACTGTAGGGCACATGAGATGCCTCGTGACAACGAAACACACTAAGGCACTGCACGACCACCTGCTGAGAACCACAGCTCTGGACCGCTGGCTCTGATGAGGGGCCAAGGCATGCTTTCTGAGGCCCAGGGCTCTCCACTGTGCATCCAAGGGGTATGTCCACCTTTCCGTGGCCAGGGCAGCTGGGCCAGGTCCTGCTCCACCTGCTTGCTGTCATCTGTCCTGGAGCACCGGTCCCGAGTCCAGATGAAGTGCCCAAGAATGGGGCCGTCATCCAGCTAGGCAGGTCATGTGGGCTCCGAGTTGGCTTCACAAGGGAGCAGAGTCCTAGAATGCGGAGTGGGCCACGGCCCAGGATGGCCTGGTGCCATTTTATCCTCTCCCAGATCTGCCTGCTCACTTGGCTTCTCTCCAAGTTGACGGGAGTCGAGTGGTTATTACTAAGAATTCTCAGAATTTGGGTGTTTGAACTTTTCCTTGAACAGGACTGCCCTTGAACAGAACGGCCTGCCTCCTTCTCCTGTGGCTGGTCTAAGACTGAGGCCCTGCTTGGCTGAGGCCAGCAGGGCTGGGCCACCTAAGGGGTGGGGGGACTCTATCACTTCCCCATTGCTGTAAGTTGGGGAAACTAACTCATTCTATAAATTCTTTAAACCATAATATATTTGACTTATTTAACATGACAGAGAAATATCCTCACACGTCACTAGACACATACCCAGCTACAAGAGTCTTAGGAATCTCCCCAGCAAACGCCTCGGCCATCTCCCGGCTGCCCACATTGGCGATGCAGTGGAGGGCCAAGCCCATGAAGGTGGGGTTTCGACTGGCCAGGTCATTCTTGAGGGCATTGTTGATCAAGCGGATCAGCTCGCTGTTGGAGTTCACCAACACAGAAATGAAGAGATATCCCTGGGTTCAGAAAGAAGAGAGAACAGACAGCTCGTGACAACCAAGGCTGACGTGGGCCCTGAGGTACCTGGAGGACCAGAGCAAAGACACAGCCGCCCTCAGGCAGTGCTGCAGGGGGTCGTGCCCTGGAGGACTCGTCTGTCTGTGTTCTGACGGAACACCGGTTCTGCTGCAGAGGCACAGTCTCAGCCACAGGAGAGCCCTGCAGGGAGAACCTCAGAGGCAGCCAGATGTCCCCATGGAGTCAGGTACCTTGGTCCTCCCCCAAGTTGCACTCACTTAGCTGTGGTGACATGAGTGACCTGGGCTCACCACACTGTCCTGAACTGGGTTGGAAGGGGCCTTCATTGCAAGGACCTGCCTTGCTGCAATTCAAGAGATCATGTGGCCTCCCAAACCCCAGCTGGCCGTTCATCCCTGCTCTCAGATCTTCTCTACGCCTTCAGCCGCCCCTCTCCTTCTGGAGGTCAAACTCTAGCCCTGTGTCACCTTGCTGTCCACGCACTTCCCGTGCAGGGGGACACAGCAAAGACCCATTCGATCACTGCCCACACAAGTGAACCTCCTGCCCAGCTTCCTGCTGATCTCAGGACAAAGGCCTGCCAGCAAGCCCACCTCCTCCCCACTCCAGCCATGGCACCCCATGTGTGTGACCTTGGCCAGAGCTCCTTGCTCTGTACACCCTGGTCCCCAGCTAACACCTGCCTCAGCCTTCAACCTGAGCACAGGGTGCCCCCCCAGGGAAGCCCCCTACTAACCACCCCCATCTCAGGGTCCTAAAGGGTTCTCCAAGCCTCCTTCCTGGGGCACTGGCCATAGCTGTAATTCTCTATTTGTGGGGCTCTCTGATGCCATCTCCCCACTGGAAAAGAAAGGGCTCACATCTGCTTTTGGTCACTAAGTCACCAGGCGTCTCTCAGCACACTACCTGGTCTAAGACAGACACTGGATAAATTCTTAGTGAGTAAAAACCAATACCTAATAACATTCTCAGGGCATCTAGGGTGTATTTCTACTTGGTATAAGTTAAATGTTTGGACAAATAGAGGAAACCGTAGCACTGGAGAAAACATACAGAAATAATGCACTCCATACAGAAAAAACATACTCCAAGAGGATGCAAGGCTGAAATTAACAAAGCCAGAGAGGCTTCAGGCGCCTGGGGGCAGCACAGCTAAGAAGCCGGGAGCTGGGAGCAAGGCCCAGGCACTTCCACCCGCAGCCTGTGGATTCTGGGACCGGTTCGGAAACAAAGTTGTACAGGGGGCCACTCAGGAAACTGATCTGTGCTGGCATGTCAACCAGGCTCTGTGGAGGAGGACCCTTCCCTTCCCTTGGAGGCAGCCATCACATCAAACCAGGGATCCAGGCAGCACCAGTGTAAACCCTCAGAAGATTCCCAGTCTGGATGGAAACGATAAGGAAAGAGCAAGAAAAGAAATGGCTGCCTCATCAGAAGAGCCTTAGCCAGGAGAGAACCCCTTTCGTGGGCATTACTGCCTCCTGGAAAGCCTGGACCCAAGCAGGGTCAGAAAGGGGAGGGAGGCCGTGGGTCACCTCAGGTGTCAGCACCTGGAGCTCCCGAGGGGTGAGATGTGCATCTTCAATACCAGCCCCACCCGAGTCCCCCTCACTCCAGCAACCTTCCACTGGGTTGTGTGTGGTCTTTCCCAGCCTGGCTCCTCCATCTGCCCCTGGGGTGACACTCCTCTGACCCTCCTCCAGGGCCTGCACAACCACCCTACCTCCGCACTTCCTATTGCTCACAGTGCAGCCGGGGGTCTATCCCCTGAGGCACAGCTGGCATTTGGGGTCAGACCCCTCTCTGGTGGGGCCTGTCCTGTGCACTGTAGGGCACATGAGATGCCTCGTGACAACGAAACACACTAAGGCACTGCACGACCACCTGCTGAGAACCACAGCTCTGGACCGCTGGCTCTGATGAGGGGCCAAGGCATGCTTTCTGAGGCCCAGGGCTCTCCACTGTGCATCCAAGGGGTATGTCCACCTTTCCGTGGCCAGGGCAGCTGGGCCAGGTCCTGCTCCACCTGCTTGCTGTCATCTGTCCTGGAGCACCGGTCCCGAGTCCAGATGAAGTGCCCAAGAATGGGGCCGTCATCCAGCTAGGCAGGTCATGTGGGCTCCGAGTTGGCTTCACAAGGGAGCAGAGTCCTAGAATGCGGAGTGGGCCACGGCCCAGGATGGCCTGGTGCCATTTTATCCTCTCCCAGATCTGCCTGCTCACTTGGCTTCTCTCCAAGTTGACGGGAGTCGAGTGGTTATTACTAAGAATTCTCAGAATTTGGGTGTTTGAACTTTTCCTTGAACAGGACTGCCCTTGAACAGAACGGCCTGCCTCCTTCTCCTGTGGCTGGTCTAAGACTGAGGCCCTGCTTGGCTGAGGCCAGCAGGGCTGGGCCACCTAAGGGGTGGGGGGACTCTATCACTTCCCCATTGCTGTAAGTTGGGGAAACTAACTCATTCTATAAATTCTTTAAACCATAATATATTTGACTTATTTAACATGACAGAGAAATATCCTCACACGTCACTAGACACATACCCAGCTACAAGAGTCTTAGGAATCTCCCCAGCAAACGCCTCGGCCATCTCCCGGCTGCCCACATTGGCGATGCAGTGGAGGGCCAAGCCCATGAAGGTGGGGTTTCGACTGGCCAGGTCATTCTTGATGGCATTGTTGATCAAGCGGATCAGCTCGCTGTTGGAGTTCACCAACACAGAAATGAAGAGATATCCCTGGGTTCAGAAAGAAGAGAGAACAGATAGCTCATGACAACCAAGGCTGACGTGGGCCCTGAGGTACCTGGAGGACCAGAGCAAAGACACAGCCGCCCTCAGGCAGTGCTGCAGGGGGTCGTGCCCTGGAGGACTCGTCTGTCTGTGTTCTGACGAAACACCGGTTCTGCTGCAGAGGCACAGTCTCAGCCACAGGAGAGCCCTGCAGGGAGAACCTCAGAGGCAGCCAGATGTCCCCATGGAGTCAGGTACCTTGGTCCTCCCCCAAGTCGCACTCACTTAGCTGTGGTGACATGAGTGACCTGGGCTCACCACACTGTCCTGAACTGGGTTGGAAGGGGCCTTCATTGCAAGGACCTGCCTTGCTGCAATTCAAGAGATCATGTGGCCTCCCAAACCCCAGCTGGCCGTTCATCCCTGCTCTCAGATCTTCTCTACGCCTTCAGCCGCCCCTCTCCTTCTGGAGGTCAAACTCTAGCCCTGTGTCACCTTGCTGTCCACGCACTTCCCGTGCAGGGGGACACAGCAAAGACCCATTCGATCACTGCCCACACAAGTGAACCTCCTGCCCAGCTTCCTGCTGATCTCAGGACAAAGGCCTGCCAGCAAGCCCACCTCCTCCCCACTCCAGCCATGGCACCCCATGTGTGTGACCTTGGCCAGAGCTCCTTGCTCTGTACACCCTGGTCCCCAGCTAACACCTGCCTCAGCCTTCAACCTGAGCACAGGGTGCCCCCCCAGGGAAGCCCCCTACTAACCACCCCCATCTCAGGGTCCTAAAGGGTTCTCCAAGCCTCCTTCCTGGGGCACTGGCCATAGCTGTAATTCTCTATTTGTGGGGCTCTCTGATGCCATCTCCCCACTGGAAAAGAAAGGGCTCACATCTGCTTTTGGTCACTAAGTCACCAGGCATCTCTCAGCACACTACCTGGTCTAAGACAGACACTGGATAAATTCTTAGTGAGTAAAAACCAATACCTAATAACATTCTCAGGGCATCTAGGGTGTATTTCTACTTGGTATAAGTTAAATGTTTGGACAAATAGAGGAAACCGTAGCACTGGAGAAAACATACAGAAATAATACACTCCATACAGAAAAAACATACTCCAAGAGGATGCAAGGCTGAAATTAACAAAGCCAGAGAGGCTTCAGGCACCTGGGGGCAGCACAGCTAAGAAGCCGGGAGCTGGGAGCAAGGCCCAGGCACTTCCACCCGCAGCCTGTGGATTCTGGGACCGGTTCGGAAACAAAGTTGTACAGGGGGCCACTCAGGAAACTGATCTGTGCTGGCATGTCAACCAGGCTCTGTGGAGGAGGACCCTTCCCTTCCCTTGGAGGCAGCCATCACATCAAACCAGGGATCCAGGCAGCACCAGTGTAAACCCTCAGAAGATTCCCAGTCTGGATGGAAACGATAAGGAAAGAGCAAGAAAAGAAATGGCTGCCTCATCAGAAGAGCCTTAGCCAGGAGAGAGCCCCTTTCGTGGGCATTACTGCCTCCTGGAAAGCCTGGACCCAAGCAGGGTCAGAAAGGGGAGGGAGGCCGTGGGTCACCTCAGGTGTCAGCACCTGGAGCTCCCGAGGGGTGAGATGTGCATCTTCAATACCAGCCCCACCCGAGTCCCCCACACCTGCAGCGACACTCACGATCTGCTTCTCCGTGTATCTGTTGGAGCTCAGCAGGTTCACGGCCTCCATGTGCCCAAAGTCAATGTCGTGACCCAGGAGAAAGATGAAGAGCAACTTGCAGACATATTTTTTTTTACTATAGCCATCAAGAGCCTTGTCACCTATGGAAAAGGTGGGTGAGGCAGGGAGAGCAGAGAACCATCAGCACAAACAGGACAACAGGACGCGTATGACCCGGCATTCAACAGAGGGACGGCTGAGCCCCCCAGCAGATGTGCTGCAGACACTGTTCTGAGCATAAATGATATTTCCAAACCAGAAGTAATCTACAGCAGCATGTGGATTATCTTTACCCCTTAAGAAACAGAAACCCAATACCCAGCAGCAAAAGTTCTGCCCTCTCAGCACAGTCCTGGGCAAGCACAGTGGGGCCAGGCCCCCTGGGCCATGGCACAATGGGCCACAATGCCACCAGGGCTCCCGGAGATACCCCTGCTTTTAAACCAGCAAATTAACCATTTAAATTAAGTATTTTAATACAGGCAAGTGAATACACTCTAAACGACCTTCCATTTCAGAACAGCTTCGGGACAAATCGCCCAGCCCTGAGCATCACACCCGAGGGGCCGGAGAGCTTCTGCCTCTTCAGTCCAGCCGCTTAGAGACGTAGCAAGGCAGCCTCAGCAAACACCACTGGCAGAATACGAAATGTCATTGCGAAAAGGACCAGGCAGCATTCCATTTCAGACACTGGGAGCTAGAACCTCCAGCAGACCGTAGGGGTGACGACCCCTCACAAAGGCTGGCCGTCCTGCTGAGCGGGGCTCACAGTAACACTGCTGCCTTAGGATGAAGGGCCCGTGCGGGACACGCGGGCCCAAAAGGACTTGGGGGAGCAGGGAAGCGGGGGACAGCAATGCCCCCATGGGAAGCAGTCAGGGCACTCACGCTCCATGGGTGAGCACTGGTGGCCCCAAAGACCCATCCCCCAAGATTTTCTGGGGTGACATTTAGACTGACATAATTTGATGACCAAACAATATAAAAGCAGACCCGGCCTGGCTGCCCCTGCCCGCTGTGCCTGAGAGGCCTGCCCTGGCACTTTCAAGCTAGGACACATCTGCCTAGCCTGGTAGGATGTCTCTAGGTACGGGTTACACAGCCCACCTCCTACCCACTAAACAGTCTTCCAGAAGTCTCCTTTGACAACCATGCCATAAGTACCACCCTACCTCGTCTCACCTCCTGGAGACTGGTCCCTGCTACTCAGAGCATGTCTTGAAGGAAAACACCACAGTTTAAGAAAAGAGAGCTAACAGCCCAGTCAGACTGGGCTCCATGAAGGCAGCCATGGAAACACATGGGGGCTCCTTTCCTGAAGCACCCTGATTGGTCTCTGCTCCAGAAAGGGCCCCCCCTGCAGCCCTGCTGGTGCTCAGAGACTCGCAGCAGGCACACGCCTCAAGGCTGGGCCTGCAGGAAAAGTAAGAGCCGTCAATAAAAGGCAGGACACCTAAGCACCTCTCAGCCCTGATGCTGCTGGGACACCGGCTAAAGACCAGTGCACAGAAGGCAGTTTGAGAGACTTACGAAGTGCCTCCGAGAGTTGGAACTAACCAGGAACCAGCCTCAAGGGGAGACATGAAGCATTCCTGCCTGAAGCCAGAGCACCCAAAGGAGCAGCACCCACAGTGAGAGGGGAGCCTGCACCTACGAAGGGGGCCCACAGGAGACTTGTCTGTCTGTGTACAGCTCAGGGCACAAGATAAAGAAAGGACGACCCCAGAGGATAGAGTATGTGGCTCAGGCCTGCTCTCCCTCAGGCCTGGCCCAGTGGAGGCTGCCCCCAGGTGCCCTGCCCCCCACCCCTCCCGGTGCCTATCCCAGTCTGACCCCACTTGGTCTCAAGAGCCTCTAACCTGCTCAAGAGTGAACCCTGGGCAAACCTTTCCTCAGCACCCATCAACTGATCACATCCAGTGAGGCCCCAGCCGAGCCCTCTCTCCTGTCGGGCACCGTGCAGCAGAGTAGGCTTCACCGCGGCCTCCCTTGGCAGTGCAGCCCCTGACCTTGCAGCACATAGGTCTGACCACAGGAGGCACTAGGCCCAGGACCTGTGGGGCTCGGGCTAGTCTGGTGAGGGTGTGCTCACTACAGCTTGCCCGCTTTAGGGCTTATGGAGACCCAGTGCTTTCGCTGGCAGTTGCAAACCACCAGCCCGCCCAGACCTGACTCCTTAGCAGCAGCCACTATGAGCTGCAGACTCACAAGAGGCAGGGTGCCCCCTGAGCTCGAGCATGACAGGACACCATGTGTGGGGCAAGGAGCTAGACACCAAGGCCTCCAGGTGAGGCACCTGAGCCTCGGCCTCAGTAAGATGCCTCGGGAGCAAAGCTCCGCCCCCACTTAGCCCGGACATTCCAGCAGGTGAGCTTGCTGTGCCACCTGTACTCACCCTGCGCATGCTCAGCACTTGCCCACCTCAGGAGCAGGACCGTGGCATGGCATGTGTGTGAGGAGCCCCACACAGGGCACTACTGGGCCTGGCGCTTCACTCTTCAGGAGCCCACGCTGGCCTCCCAACTGCAGACTGACTCACGAGCACCACATCCCATTGGCTCCTGAGATGCACGGACATTGCATGGGGTAAAAGAACATGTGTCTCAGAATGACTAAAACCGGGCATCATCATACAAATGTCTTCCATGGTCTCGCTTTGTCCAGGCACTGCTGAGCCGGGACACAGTGTCCTGCTTCATTTCTGTGACAGACAGCTGAGGGGTGGGCTAGAAGTCTAGAGACCCAGGATACAGATTGGACCCTGATCCCCCATCACAGGCAAAATACCAAGCAAGTAAGACACAAGACCGGAGAGCTAGTTACCACCACAATGCCACCCAGGCAGGCACGCCCCCTCCCTCATGAGCTGGCCAGAAGGAAGGACAGGCGCCCAGCAGCATCCACAACTCCACAGTGGTGCTCCCCAGCACCCGCCCTGCTACCACCTGGTGCATGCCCCACCTACCAGCCCCGAGCAGAATGACCAGCCACCCAGTCGCTCCTGCATCTCATGTCCACCCCACCTCTTCCAACAGAGACCACAGCCAAAACACACCCAGGACAACCATGCTTCAGGCACAGGAAAGGGAGCCAGTCCATTGTCTGCAGGCTGCGCTTGTGACCCAGAAGGCCTCACACTGACATGAATTTGCCTTTTGTGCCTTACGGACAGGGCCTTGTGCATAACCCAGGACACGCAGGTTTCCAAACCTCCCACCTCTGTGGGGGACGGTGGCTAGTGCATGTACCACATAAAGCGGGAGAGGCTCCCAGTCCACTCTGAAGGGATCAGAACCTGACCGTCTCAAGTCAGACCTATCCTGCCGAGAAAGATGTTCTCCTCTGATAGATAAGAGGCTGGGAACGACCCAGATCTCCACAGAAAAGCAAGTATAACTTCCTTCCTCTAGGGAAATTCACCCAAGCCCCAGTAGCCCAGTCCTTGAGGGTGATTTCTAAGTTGTGACCCTCTCTCACCCTCTCTCACAAGACTGTTGCTCAATAAGTATCTTAGTATGTTCAAAGAGGTGACAGGAGTAGGACATCACTGCTACTCCAGCACGTCCCCCTCAGGCCATTTTCTCAAAGTCAGTTAAACTGCCCCCTCCTGGTAAAATGTCTTAGAACTGCTCCATCTGGGGAATTAACTCTTCTGTGCCCAGTACCCCCCATAGACCCAAGGCATTTTCTTTACTCTCTAAAACCCTTAATTTAGTTGTTAAAGAAAGGGAGATGCAAATTTAAACCACAATAAGGTCTCACCACAGGCCCACTAGAACTAGTCAAACTTAAAACATCAGCCAATGCCCAGTGCTGGCAGGAGCACGGAGGGCTGGGAACACTCGAGCACAGCTGATGGGAATGTGAAACAGTGCTGCCACTCTGGAGAAAGGGTGGCACTTTCTTTACAAGTGAGATATACAGCTTCCACATGGCCCAGCCATTGTACTCCCTGGCGTCTGCCACAGGAAGGAAGAGAGGCGTGTGCACGCAGACTTGCACGCCAACATTCCTGGCAGCTGTACTCCAAACAGCTTCCACAACCCACGTGTCCGCCAACCATCGAGGAAACGTGCTGTGCAGGAACCAGCTGAGGCGCTGACATGCACTGCGGCATCACGCAGCCCCAAAAACACCACGCGGCAGCAAAGAACCCGGACACAGAAGACTGCGGGCTGCACAACTCCTTTCGTGTGAAGTTTGTAGAAAAAGCAAAACTAGGGTGACGGTGAGCAGATCAGTGGCTGCTGAGTTGGAAGGAAGGTGGGCAAGGGCGTGGGTGAACGTTTTGGCGTGATGGGAATGTTCTCTATTTCATTTTGTAGTGATAGTTACATGAATACATGCATTTTCCAGAATTCAAATTGCATACTTAAAACAAGTGATTTTATTATGAATAAACTGTGTCTCATAAAGTCAGTTTTTTTTTAATTACTGTCAAAATATCCCAGGAAGAAAACAGGAACAAAAAATGAAAGCGGATGGGTGAATAGTGGACACTGAAGAGCCGGTGAGACACCGTGGAGAGGGTAGCATGATAGACCCCCTCACATATGAGCTTCCCACCTTCTCAAGAACAAGCTGTCATTTTTTAAGTCTTTGTACACCTGCAATAACTTTTTAAATGCATCTTTATACTCCTAGTGCCTAGAACTCAGTGAACACCCACGGCTATGTAGCAAATTGGTAGATACTATCTGGTTAAACTCCTGAAGTTATCAATAGTGAAAGTAACCATGTCTCTGTGTAGCATAACACAACAAGGTCTAAAGGTCCCAAGACCGAAGGTATGCCAACTACACCATAGTTACTACCCATCCTATCCCAAAACTTAGTGGCTTACATACAAGCACCTATTCTTGCTTATGAGCCAGAGCTCAGTGGTCTCCACAGGCTTGGCTGGGGCTGTCTCCTGATGTGAGCCGGATCTAGGCCTGCCCCCGTGCTTCTCATTGTCACAGCCCAGAGGCCACTCAGAGCCGAGGGGCAAGTGGAAAATAGCCACCTCCTTCAAGCGTAGGTTTGGAAGTGGTGCACAGGCACCGTCTACATCCTACAGGCCACGTCCCATCACCAAGTCCCACATTCCTTCACCAAGGACAGAGCTCACCTATGAAGCCCTCGGCCTCCAGTTTTCCAACTCTAGTGTTCGCAGGACTGTCCAAGTTTTAACACCTTTTATGTTTGTTGTCAAGTATTTCACTTCTGTGTGTATTTTTAGCTCCACAAGACATTATTATTACATACAATGGTCACGTAAATGTACCTACCTATCTACCACTGCTTCCTTCCTTTCTGCACCCTCTGACCTTTCCTCTCGGATTGTTTCTGGCATGAAATACAGTGTTTAGAATTTCTTTTAGCACAGGACTTCTGGTGGAAATTTTTCTCCATTTCTGTCTGGAAAAAATCTTCTTTAGCTTCATTCTTGAAGGACATTATCACTGGGTACAGACTCTAGCTGGCTGTCATTTTCCAACATTTGAAGTCACCTCCCGCTCTGTTCTGCTTTCCTTTGCCACTGTGAGATGCCAGCTGTCGGCACATATGCAGTTCCTGTGAAGACAGCTCATCTTTCTCCTCCTCTGGCACCTTTAAGACTTCCTGTCTTTGGGTTTCCACATTTCACAACAACATATCTAGGTGCAGGTCTCATTCTGTTTATTTTAACTGTGTGTATAGAATCTGTAGCTTGGTGAATGTCGTGAAACTTAAAGAGCCTCTGTCAGGCCATGTCTCCCTCCCCTCCGGGAAGCTAGTGAAGCCTTTACGGCCACCTCACCACGCCCGTCTCCCACCCTCCGTCTCCTCCGTCTTCCTTTTCTGTGCCCCACTCACGGCAGGTTTGTGCTCTTACCTATCCTTCAGAACACTAAATCTCTCCTCAACCAGATCTGTCTGTATGTCCATCCACCTCATTCTTCCTTTTACCTGCCACATGCTTCAGGTCTAGAGCTTCTATTTCATTTTATTTCAAAATCTGCTGTTACCCTACTTTCCAAGTTTCCTGATGATATTTTCAAATTTGGCTTTCATTTCTTTAAAAATGGTAACCCCAGTTCTTTATTAGAGTCTGAACCCAGCATGAGAGGTCTTTGTGACTGTCTGTTGTCTCTGCTGGTTCCTGTTCATGAGTCCTGGCTCTCTGTGTGCCTGATTATCTGGACTATATGCTGGACAATATGTTTCAAAAATTAGTGGTAGCAATCATTTGCAGCCTATTGTGATAATATACATTCCTCCGGAGAGGACTGCTTTTCTTACCTTACCCAAATGTAAAGTTTGGGATTCTTCAAAGCACCAGGATGTTTGGAATCTTGCTGCAGGTCAGCAACAAGGCTGCCCACTCCCAGACACGCTTGTCCTATAGGCACTCTCTTTGGGGAGCTGCGTTCAAAGTAGAAGGGGGAGTGGGCTCTAGGTTTTGACTTTTCTCCTAGACTGAGATTGCTCAACCTCAGCACTTTACATCCTAGACCAGGTAAATCTCATTTGGCAGCCTTCCTCTGCATTACAGGGTGTTTGGCATGCCAACCCCCAACCCCACCCCAGCCTCCACTCACTAGAGGCAGTAGTGTACCCTCCCCACAAAAATGTCTCCAGATCTTTCCAGATTTCCCCTGGAGGGCAAAATCCCCTGATGATAACCATCCCTCTAGACTTTAAAGATCACCAAAGACACAGCTGCTTCACAGCTGTTTCTCTGGGATCATCAAATGCTCTCAAGGCACAAACAGCTAAGCACTATGCTTGCTTACATGGGTACCCACCTTCTCCTAGGTAAGGCCCAGGGGTGTCCCTTGCTCTTGTTACTCTATGATGTTTCCAAGGTTGTTTTTAATACCACACCTCTTTAAGCCATTTTCAGTGGAAGGCTTGGGCTAAGTCTGCATTGTCCAGTGTGGCGGCTTCTGGACACCAGTGGCTTACTGGGCACTTGAAAGGTGCCTGGTCAGAACTGAGTGTGCTCTAAGTGTGACATACACACCAGGTCTTAAAGACTTGGTATGAAAAAAAATGTAAAACATCTGAATAACTATTTCTATTGATTACATATCATTTTTGCAATGAGAATATTTTAGGTATAATGAGTTAAATAATTATGTTAAAATTAGTTTCATCTTTTCCTTTTTACTTTCAATATGGCTACTAGAAAATTCTGAATGACGTGTGTGTCTGCACTGGTGATTTACATTATCTCTCTACTGGACAGCACAGACCTACCTTATCTAATCAACCACAACTGGAAGGGGATGTCCCCAGGAGCACTCACATCGGAGGAGGAGGGCCAGGCTTCTGTCATCTGCCACTCTTCAGGGTATACAGACACTCAACACACATGCTCAATGCCAGCTGGCTAAAAGATAAGAGGGAGCCACCTCCCCTATCTAGGACAGCTTAGCTTAGACCCAAAGGTAGAAGAAACAACAGAAGTCTCTTCTGTCCCACATTTATTCAGATGGTTTGAAGATTTACCATCCGAAGGGCATGAATTCTTTTATGAGAGCACAGTTAACATTTATTAGGCACTCCTTTTCTATCAAGAAATCTATGCGTATTTTCACATAAAGATACAATTAGCATAGCATGACATACAATACATACATGACATGGACCCTCCCTTTAATTAAGTCTGGAGCTGCCAGGAGTGTGGTTAGCTGACAAGGGTCCGCCTTCCTCAGCTCTCAAGTCACCACTGAGCAGGAAGATGGTCCAAAGGCCAGCCATTTCCACACAGTGCCAAGCTCCTCTTACAGGCAGTCTTCACTCCAAAGCCCCCAAAGGGGCTAGAGACGACTCTGGAAGACCAGCATCTCCATCTGATGCCTCCCTTGCCTCCATCTAACCCTGCTTCCTCCCTTTACTCATTACTGGCGCTACTCTCTAATGAACACTGTCCTCCTATCGCATCTCAGGGGGTTTCATGGAAACCCAGACTGCGATCACTAGCACCCCATTTTACAGCTGAGAAAGGAGATGCAGAAGGGTAAGTAACTTGCCAAGGGAACACAGATAATGAGCATCATAGAAGGGCTGTACTAGGGGCAGTCAGGGAACTGCACTCTTAACCACCATGTGCTATTCCCTCCCTGTGAAGAAGTGATGAAAACTTTCTAACCAGGGCCCAGCAGAGTGGCTCCCACAAAGAAAAGCGGCAGGGAGACAGGCCATTCTGCCATCAGTGAGGCAGTGGCCAGGGAACACCCCATCAGCATTCACAAGCGCACCCAGTGGGTTTTGAGAAGCATGCCCCTCAGACAGTCAGCAACCCAGATATCTGGCATGAAGGAGATGGGAAGTCCAGATGTACACACTGACCCCAGACTCAACAAAGCTGTCTGGCCAAAGCAAGGAATGCCCCATACCATCTGTGTGCGGTTGTCCAGAAGATGTAATGAGGATGAAGATTCCCCAAACAAGCTCTATATGCTGGTCACCTGTGTACCTGTCACCACTTTCAACAGTCTAGGGACATCTACTGTGGATGAGAACCAACTGCTGACTGGCAAACAAAGAATAAAATGCAAAAAAAAAAAAAAAAAAGAGGCAGCAGCAATGAAAGTTATAGACCCCTCACCAGAGAAGACACACGATGGCGAATGCACACGTTAGAGGTGCTCCACATCTGAGTCATCAAGGGGATGAGTGCAAATCAAACACCCATGAGACCCCACTGCACTGTACCTGTAGAAGTGCCCGAAATCCAGAAAACTGACACTCCGAATGCTGGTAAGAACAAGGAGCGGCAGTGACCCCCACTCGCCACGGGCAGGCACGCAGACACGGGTGGCTCAGCCACATCAGAAGACGGTTTGACAGTTCCTTACAAAGCCACACTCATTCTCACTACGCAATCCAGCAATCACGCTCCTTGTATTTACCCAGAGGAGCTGAAAACTACGTCCACACAAAAACCCCACACACGGATGTTTACAGCAGATTTATCCGTAACAGCCCAAACCTGGAAGCAACCGAGGCGTCCTTCACGGTGACGGACAGACTGTGGACCATCCAGACGATGGGTGTAATTTGGCACTAAAGAGAAATGCTCCATCAGGCCAGGAGAACACACGAGGGCCCTCACACGCACAGGACCATGGGGGAGAAGCCAACCTAGGAAGGCCACACACTGTGTGAGCCTACCTCCATGACACTCTGGAAAAGGCGACACTGTGGGCTGTGGGGGGTCAGTGGTGGCCAGGGGCTCAAGGGAGGGGGATGAACAGGTGGAGCCCGGGGGTTTTGTAGGGGAGGGAAACTACTCTGTGTGGTACTGCCATGGTGGCTACTTGTCATGACACATTTGTCCATGAGTGACCCTGATGTAAACTGCTGCCTGAGTGACAATGACATGTCTATTTCAGGCTCACTGTAATGAATGTCCCATCTGGTCGGCGTGTGGATAGTGGAGAGGCTGTGCGTGTGTGGGAACAGGGGTATTTGAGAAATTTCTGTATTTTCCTCTCAGTTTTGCTATGAACCTAAAATCACTCTAACAAAATTAAGTCCTAATTTAAAAAGATAAATAATAAAGATTTTTAAAGCAATGGAAGTTATAGATACCCCCACCAACAAAAATAATAATAATAAGCATATATAAGCAAACCATTTCACATACAATTTCAGAAGTTTCAGAGACCTAGAGGATCCCTGAACCCAGATATAAATATTAACACCCAAAGATCCCCTAGGACTCAACAGGAGATACACCAATCACTGACTCCAGAACTCTACAAGCTTCTGCATCCTCTCATGGCATGGGACACCCAATCTCACGCCCTGAAAAAAAATCTGTTCTAGGAAATTCTGTCTTCCACCTGTCCCTCCAATTCTTCAGACCTCAGTCCTAGCCTGTCCTCTACTAGCTGTTTCTGGGCAACTTCAACTTCAGCCACTCTCATAGCTAACATCTGCTCAGGGGAACTTGGACCAGGTCTCAAACCTGTAAAAATTAATTGAAAAACTAAGGCGTAAAAGATAAACTAGCCCTTCACAAACATGTCCTGAAGCCTGAGAAGTCTATTCTTTATCATACTTCAGAATGAGATGCTCAGGGAGGGTGTATCCCCCACAAGCTGGCTTAGCAGAGCGGTGGTATGAGTGCATAAGGCAATGTGCTGATGGGTGATGTTACTTCCTAAGCGCAAGGCAGCGCTTCACTCGGCACAGGAAGGGCTTACTTAGATTACTTAATGATATTTGACACAAATAATTAGTGGCCTCTGGTAGAGCATCTCTTTGCAACTCACACTCTGAGCCCAATGCGTTGGGGCACTGGCTCGCCCCACTCTAGGGCCTGGTGGAGCAGTCTGTGGAAGGAAGCAGCTGCTCTAGGTTAGTGTCCTTCCAGATCCAGGGCAAGACCGGGTCCCTGGAGGGGCCATGCTGACAAATTCCACACAAACTCAACAACTCAAAAAAAACCAATGGCTTGACTTTACACACTGTTTAATTCTAACAGAACCATGAGAGTAACTGTAGTAACATAGAACTTAACTTTGGTTTGAAGTGGGAAAAAAAACATGATATTAAAAGATTAAATCCTGGGGATAGGAAAAAAGATGGCATGGCAGGAAGGCTAGGAGGAAACCTGCTGGCACACACACCAATGGAGCAACCACAGCAAATGCAGCTCACCCTGAACAGGACCTGGAGACTCAGAACAGACCACTGCACCTCGGGAAGGAGAGAAGCCCACACGGAGAAGGGGAAAGTGGCAGAGCTCTGATCAGTCAGAACCCCAGCCCTTCCCCCATCCCAGCCCACAGTGGGAGGAAGAGGAACACAGTCAGGAGAGAGAGGTGCTCAGGAGCTCTGGCCCTGGAGATCTGCTCTGGGAAGACAAGTCCACATTGCATTGAGCTTTGGTGATGAGTGGGACTGGCCACCAGGGAGAGCAGAGTTGCAGCACTCTGAGAGGCCAAGACACCAGCTGCTTGTGGAGGTCAGACTACCTCTCCTCCGTCTGCTGAGACCCAACACAAAGAAAGCAGTTTGAAAGATTTACCAGCAACAAGTAGGGTGCCAGAGGGAGAAGGGTTGTACAAGGCTCTCTCTGCAGGAGAAAGGGCAGGTGGACAACACTTCCCCAGCCCTCCCTCAGCCCAACAGGTCAGGTGCTCATGGAAGCCCCCAATACTCCATCCCCTCGCTGGCGGCTCAGCCCCAGGGCACTTTCCTGCACACACACCTGGCCCCGCAGCATTACACTTTGCTGCCTAGCAGGCAGAGGGAGGCTTTCCCAACTTTCTCAGCCCTATGTCAACCCAACTGGAGAGGTGCCCTGCAACCCCACTCCCACCCCCAGCAGCCCTGCCTCACTCCAGGGCAGGCAGAGGGTGGCCTTGCCCACAGGATCCCAGCAGTAGCCACTGCTCTGATCACAAAAGGCTGGCGGAGGAAAACTGCCGGCTGCAGCAGAATGAGATGGACCACCACTGACTGCAGACAGACAGAAAGGCAGCCCCACCCACAGCCCACCAACTACAACTGGGGCTCCATTGCAAAGGAGAACCAGGCACTGGGGAGTAGAGAGGCCTGAGCTTCTGGGAACCAGAAGATGCCTTCTTCATAAAGGCATTACTCTCTAGACCAGGAAGCATAGCAGATCTATGCTAATATGAAGGAAGAAACACAGAAACCCTGACAAAATGAGGAGGCAGAGGAATATGTTCGAAACAAAATTACAGGGTAAGACACCAGAAAGAGGACTAAATGAAATGGAGACCACCAATCTTCTTGATAAAGATTTCAAAGTAAGTCATAAATATGCTCACAGACCTGCAGAAAAACATTGAAGATCTCAGAGAGGACATCAAAAAAGGATAGAAGAGCTAAAAAAAGCCACTCAGACCTGAAGAATACGGTAACCAAAATGAAATATACAATGGCGGGAATGAAGAATAGAATGCTGCAAGTAGAGGACAGACAATCAGTGAGATGGAAGTTAGAGACCAGGAACACGGTGAAGCTGAGGAACACAGAGAAAAAAAATCTCTACAAATGAAAGAATGTTAAGAGAGCTGTGTGACCTATCCAAAAGAAACAATATTTACATAATAGGGGTACCAGAAGGAGAAGAGAGACACAAAGGGGTAGGAAGTCCCTTTGAGAAAATAAATAATTGTTGAAAACTTCCGGAATCTGGGAAAGGAAACAGACACTCAGGTCATAGAAGTACAGAGATCCCCTAATAAAAGGAACCCGAGGAAGACAACACTAAGACATATAATAATTAAAATGGCAAAGATTAAGAATAAGGAGAGAGTACTGAAAGCAGCCAGAGAGCCACCCCACATAAAATTGACCGCAGAGCATTTCAAGACAAAGGTTAAATGCACTTACCTTTAAATTTTGATCTAATGTTTGCCAGCTCTTTGTTTATTCTCTTTATTTCTGCTTCTTTACTTTTGCCTAAAAAGGAACACAAATACATTCTTACTTGAAATAATTTCCAAACAAATACCCATTCCCCAACAAGACAGGTAACATCAGAATTAAAGGCAGAATTGTCCCTTTAAGGAGCCCAAGGGAAGAAGCAATGTGTCTCCAACTAAGCCACTCAAAACAGCTGAGGCAGAAGCCAGGGGCCTTGACACCCCCCAGCTTGGCCTTCCCAGGTCAAGACACATGGGTGGTGGCAGCCACTCTACAAAGGCAGATGATCTGCGGCACCATTTCTAACACCACCTTTCTGCCTAGGTTCTGTAACGCAAAGCACTCCAACACATGCCAAATGTTTCCCTCAATAAATCACTATCAGCTGAGAAAGAGGATTAAAGATGGCGGGTGAGAAGTGAAACAGAGGCTTCCTCCTAAAACTGCATATAATACAAAAATATAATTAATACAACTAATCCTGAAAGAGCAACAGGAAAGAGGACCACACCAGACTGCATACACCTGGAGAAAAGAGCAGACCTCACAGAACAGGGTAACATACCAAAGCTGACGCCCAACGGGACCCAAGCCCTTCCCTGACCCCAGCTCACCGGCAGAAGGAAGAAAAATGGAGCAGGGAGGGAGTGGAGACCTGGGACTGCTGAATACCTAACTCTGGAAATCTGCTCTGGGAGCACAAACCTGCATTTCATGGTGCTTGCATGGTACACTCATGATTAGAGGGGTGGAAAGCTAAGACAGGCAGAATTCCTGGAGAGACTGAGATTCCAGCCACTTGTGGAAAGCAGGGATCCATATCCGGCTGCTCTGGGACAAAAGAAAGGCGGGCAGTCTGAGAGACTTCCTAACAAGGAAGCCCTTAGCAAGAGGGCTGCTAAAGGGGCAAGGATTGCACAGAGCTTACTGCTCAGGAGAAAGGACAGGTAGACAAAATCGTCCAGGTGCACTCTGCCCAGTAGGTTGGGAGCTTTCACGATCTTCAGGTGCTACAGCTCCCTGGCTGGCTACACAGCTCCAAGGACCCCCTCTGTGATACACAGCCTCTGAGCCTTTCTCCCGACCAGCCCCACCTGGTTAACAAACCGACAAACCCTACCCTGATGTTAGGCCAGCCAGAGGGAAGATTTGTCTACAGCAACTACAAACACAAAGCATAGAGGCTTATACCTGTGTGCACAGCCCACTGGTTCAGGCAATGCAGACAGGCACAGCAGCCAAGAAGCAGGAAACAGTTCTTTCCTCCCCAGGCACCAATACCACTCCCCTGCGACCCCCAACATTACTTCAAGGGCTGAGCAGCTCCAGAGAGTAGACCTTCTGGACACTAGAGGGCGCCATATACAAATATGAAACACCAAAGGAACCTGGTTCAAAGTAAAACTATTAATACAACTCCTGAAAAGATTTAAATCACATCAACCTCATGAATCTTCCTGAAAGAGAGTTCAAAATAAAAATCATTAACATGCTCATGAAGGTACAGAAAGATATTCAAGAAATCAGGAATGAATTGCAGTCAGAGATCCAATCATTGAAGAGCACAATGGAGGGTATTAAAAGCAGATTAGATATGGTGGGGGAGATGATAAATGAAATAGAAACTGGAGTAGAAGAATACAAAGAAGCTGAGGCACAGGGAGAAAAAAGGATCTCTAAGAATGAAAGAATATTGAGAGAACAGTGTGACCAATCCAAACGGAACAATATTTGCATTATAGGGGTACCAGAAGAAGAAGAGAGAAAAAGGGATAGAAAGTGTCTTTGAGGAGGTAATTGCTGAAAACTTCCCCAATCTGGGGAAGGAGATAGTCTCTCAGGCCATGGAGATCCACAGATCTGCCAACACAAGGGACCCAAGGAGGACAACACCAAGACATATAGTAATTAAAATAGCAAAGATAAAGGATAAGGACAAACTATTAAAAGCAGCCAGAGAGAGAAATAAGATCACATACAAAGGAAAACCCATCAGGCTATCATCAGACTTCTCAGCAGAAACCTCACAGGCTAGAAGGGAGTGGCATGATGTATTTAATGCAATGAGGCAGAAGGGCCTCAAACCAAGATTACTTTATCCAGCAAGTTATCATTAAAATTTGGAGGGATTAAATAATTTCCAGAAACGCAAAAGCTGAGAGAATTTACCTCCCAAAAACCATCTCTACAGTGTATTTTGGAGGGACTGCTATAGATGGAAGTGCTCCTAAGGTTTAATAGCTGTCACCAGAGGTAATAAAACCACAGTAAAGAAAGTAGAACAGCTAAATACTAAGCAAATACAAAATTAAATTAACTATCCCCAAAGCCAATCAAGGGATAGACAAAGAGTACAGAATATGATATCTAATATATAAAGAATGGAGGAGGAAGAAAAAGGAGAAAAAGAAAAGAACCCTTAGATTGTGTTTGCAATAGCATATTAATCGAGTTAAGTTAGACTCTTTGATAGTAAAGAAGTTAACCTTGAACCTTTGGTAACCATGAATCTAAAGCCTGCAATGGCATTAAGTACATACCTACTGATAATCCCCTTAATGTAAATGGACTGAATGCAACAATCAAAAGACGTAGAGTCACTGAATGAATAAAAAAGGAAGACCCATCTATATGCTGCTTACAAGAGACTCACCTCATACCCAAACACATACACAGACTAAAAGTGAAGGGATGGAAAAAGATATTTCATGCAACTAATAGGGAGAAAAATGCAGGAGTTACAGTACTTGTATCAGACAAAATAGACTTCAAAACAAAGAAAGTCACAAGAGACAAAGAAGGACATTACATAATGATAAAAGGGTCAGCCCATAACAGTTACCAAAGGGAAAGGGACTGGGGAGGATGGGTGGGAAGGGAGGGGTAAGGGATGTGGGGGGAGAAAGGGGACTGTACAACACAGAGAAGACAAGTAGTGATTCTACAGCATTATACTATGCTGATGGACAGCGACTATAATCGGGTATGTCAGGGGGACTTGGTGATGGGGGGAGTCTAGTAAACATAATGATCCTCGTGTAACTGCAGATTAATGATACCAAAAAAAAAAAAAGGTCAGTCCAACAAGAAGATATAACCATTATAAATATCTATTAACCCAATACAAGAGCACCTACATATGTGAAACAAATACTAACAGAATTAAAAGGGGAAATAGAAGGAAATGTATTCACTCCACTCACTTTGAAGGACAGATCAACCAGATAGAAAATAAGTAAGGACACAGAGGCACTGAACAACACATTAGAACAGGTGGACCTAACAGACATCTACAGAACTCTACACCCAAAAGCAGCAGAACACATATTCTTCTAGTGCACGTGGAACATTTTCAAGAATAGATCATATACTAGGCCGTTAAAATCAGCCTCAGTAAATTCAAAAAGATTTAAATTGTACCAACCAGTTTCTCAGACCACAAAGGTATGAAACTAAGTATAAAGAAAATGAAAACTAGGCATATAAAGAAAAGAAAATTAGGCAAAGAAAATTAAAAATCTCACAAACACACAGAGGCTTCACAACATGCTCCTAAATAACCAATGGATCAATGACCAAAACAGAGATCAAGCACTATTTGAAGACAAATGACAACAATAACTCAACACTGCAAAATCTGTGGGATGCAGTGAAGGCCGTGCTAAGAGGAAAGTATATTGCAATACAGGCCTACCTCAGGAAAGAAGAACAATCCCATATGAGCAGTTTAAACTCATAATTAACAAAACCAGAAAAAGAACAAATGAGGCCCAAAGTCAGTAGAAGGAGGGACATAATAAAGATAAGAGCAGAAATAAGTAAAATCAAGAAGAATGAAATAGAATCAATGAGAGCAAGAGCTGGTTCTTCAAGAAAAGAAACAAAATAGATAAACCCCTAGCCAGACTTATCAAGAAAAAAAGAGATCTACTCACATAAACAGAATCAGAAATAAGAAAGGAAAAATCACTATGGACACCACAGAAATACAAAGAATTATTAGAGAATACTATGAAAATCTATATGCTAACAAACTGGATAACCTAGAAGAAATGGACAACTTTCTAGAAAAATACAACTTTCCAAGACTGACCCAGAAAGAAACAGAAAATCTGAACACACCAATTACCAGCAATGAAATTGAACTGGTAATCAAAAACCTACCTAAGAACAAAACTCCTGGACCAGATGGCTTCACCGCTGAATTTTATCAAACATTTAGTGAAGAACTAATAACCATCCTCCTGAAACTTTTCCAAAGAGTAGAAGAGGAGGGAATACTTCCAAACTTATTGTATGAGGCCAGCATCACTCTAATACCAAAACCAGGCAAAGACATCACAAAAAATTACAGACCAATATCCCTGGTAAACATAGATGCAAAAATACTCAACAAAATATTGGCAAACCAAATTCAAAAATACATCAAAAAGATCATCCATCATGATCAAGTAGGATTTATTCCAGGAATCCAAGGATGGTACAACATTCGAAAATCCATCAACATCACCCACCACATCAACAAAAAGGACAAAAACCACATGATCATTTCCATAGATGCCGAAAAATTCAACATCCATTCATGATAAAAACTCTCAACAAAATGGGTATAGAGGGCAAGTACCTCAACATAATAAAGGCCATATATGACAAACCCACAGCCAACATCATACTCAACAGTGAGAAGCTGAAAGCTTTTCCTCTAAGATAGGGAACAAGACACGGATGTCTACTCTCCCCACTTTCATTCAACATAGTACTGGAGGTCCTACCCATGGCAATCAGACAACACAAAGAAATACAAGGCATCCAGATTGGTAAGGAAGAAGTCAAACGGTCCCTCTTTGCAGATGACATGATACTGTACATAAAAAACCCTAAGAATCCACTCCAAAACTACTAGCTCTAATATCTGAATTCAGCAAAGTTGCAGGATACAAAATTAATAAGCAGAAATCTGTGGCATTCCTATACACTAACAATGAACTAGCAGAGAGACAAATCAGGAAAACAATTCCATTCACAGCTGCAC